TCGTTTCGCAAAAACGTATTGAACTACGCGATTTCTTGTTCGATTAGTCATTCGTGGGGCTCTTCTCGCTATCAGGGTCTGCCAGTCGTCATCAGTAAACCTATCCTCGAGGCAAAAGTGTAAACTGGTAAGCCAACTGTTCATATTCGGGCGTCGTGCAGATTGAAATCCGTTGCGTCAAGCATTTTTTTTCGAGTGAAAGAACGATACGATGGGTCAATTATCGTCAACTAGTTTCACAAATTCGTACTAATTATGCCAGTGCATTTCGAACACCGTTTTAAATAATTTATAGATGAAAGTGAGAATAAAGTGCTCGCTATATTTGAAAGTCGACTCTTTGATGTTAATCCTGAAATGACCTCCATGGCAGGACTCGAACCTGCAGTCTTCGGATGCCTCCCAACGGTTTACCGCCTCATCGTAATTGAGAGGACCTCCTGGGTGTCGGGCAGTGATGCACAGCGGGAGGATTCATGTTCCTAGCAGGGTTTCCCAAGCCGAGAAGGAATCCGGTACTTCCATCAGGAAGCCCAGATAAGAGTAAACCAATACCAGGATCCGCCACGGTCCTCGTATCCAAACTAGCCGTGGTGGCAGACATGATGGCAAATTTTCCTCTGATCCACGAGGACGGCGACTGCCTGCGATGGTGACGACCCGGGGCAGACTTCGGCCTGGCTGACTTCGGGACTCCAGGGAACCACAGTGGCTAAACGAGCAAAGCTCCAAAAAAGTGGAAATTATGCCTGGGGCCCACACAACCAGTGAAGACGGGCTATCCAGGTATCTAAGTAAATCCTGAAATGCGTCCTCTTGGACACGCCCTCTAGATAACAGGCGCGGACGTGTTTACCGTTTACGCCAACGCTCAACATTTATCGGTGAAAACCACTTCTGGGAACCAGAATTTGCCTTGCGTACGTCATCATGTTCGAGGTAGACCGCCATCATGGACGGCGATTGCGCGAATGAGAAAGGAATAGGAGATTGGTAGGGGTCCGCAGCACTCGTAAGGGCCCGCCACCCGAGTACCCAAGTAAGTAACCCCAAAAACCACTTGTATCTTAAAAACCGATTTAAATTAAACTTCGGCAAGGATAGTCAGCATTTTCCTAGATCACTGAGCTAGCATGAGGTTGGTATAAAAATTTCATGAAGCTAACGTTTCCACATATTCATCTTCTTCAGAGCCGGATTGATCCAAGTCGATGGTCGGTTTTTAAGATGTTTAGTATTCAACAGAAACTTTGAGAGGATATCTCTAGGCTACGAGTGGAATTTGAACATTAGCACTTACATTCTGTATCACCGCATTTCGATTGCTACACCGTGACGAATTTTCCTTTCTCCACTAATGATGACCGAGCCATAGTATAACATCGATATAGTATATAGTACAACACTAATATAGTATAATACAGTATAATTTAGCACAGTATAGTAATGTCTCATGGGCGCATGTGGCGCAGTGGTCGGAGACGCCCTGCAATACACAACGGATGGATTCCTGCGTTCGTGGCCCACCAGCTTTCCGAGCTTTTGGCGTCGACAAATTTGAACCAGACTTGTCTGCGAGGATAACAGCATTGGCTGGATATATCGCTAGGCTCCGCAAATCATTGTAAAGGCCAGATATGTATTCAATCACCTCCAGACGATGCTTAGTGAGGCCGAATGCATGGCATATCCTTAGGGGATTGATCAACGCCGAAAGCTTTATCCATTTTTTATTTATAGTAATATCTCAAATGACTGAATCAATAGTATGCTAGAATCTGCTGCAACATTGAGATCTACTTGAGCTGAAAGTTCGCTCGGTCATGCAACCAGTACCAGGCCCCTAGTTGTACGAAACGATATTCCGTTTGAAAGCACTCAGCAATGACTCACTCGTTTCGCAATACGTCGTAATGAAATTCCACACCGCACCACTGGAATGTCAACCGAACAAGCATCGATGTTTGATGTTGGAACGGTATGGTCCCAACCCAACCTATCCGGTTTACTCAGAAATCGGCTAAGTCATGCGTACTTGTCAGTGAACATGGTGTTTGAATGGCGCTATTTGTCAGCGGATTGTTGTCACAGCAGGCTTGGTCAGAGATCAGGCCATTCATTCTGTGGATGGATAATGGCATGGTTGAACAAATGGGGGTGGCCAGTGGATAGATATCAATCATGTCTTTAAAAAAAAGGAGCACTGATCTCTCTGATCTCTCAAAAAGTTCACCTTACAATTCATTTTGTACAGAGTGAGCATAACGTCTACCATTACTACCCTCCATTTACTGCAGAATAGCTCCTATTATGCTAAGGAAAAATACGATTGTACCTGTTACGAACCACATTGATGTTAGAAGTTTGATTTTTGTCATCTGTGACACAACCACGCTGATGCTGAGATATTTGCAAAACTCCTGACCGTAGGTGTCTGCGGTGGTGAACGAACGCGCTATTACCCTTTCCGGGGACTAACGCGTTCACCACCACACCATGCGGATCCCCCGTTTCGCCTGTGTTTTTTCCTTTCTCTTCTCTTCTTTTTCCTTAGTTTTCTGTTATCTGTAACGTACCAAAATCACTAGAGTGGCCCTGCGTTGATGAATACAATGTCCATCTTATCATCCAAGTAGTTGCGTCGTCTAGCGATGAATACAAAGTCTTCGTTAGCAGTCATTTCCTCTAAAACAAAGCACCAAGTGACGAAGTTATGATTTAAAGCACAATACTGCGCTGACAATAACCAATCGTTTACTTTTCATTCGTGCTTTTATAGTTTCCCTCAAAGGATAAAGGATAAAGCTCTCGGCGTTTATCTATCCCTGAGGGATGTGCCATGCATTGGACTTCATTAAGCATTGTTGAAGGCGACTGAATGCACATCTGGCCTTTACAATTACTCACGGTGGCCTACCGATATACCGAGCCAGTGCTGCTATCCTCCCAGGCAAGTCTGGTACCAATTTGCCGAACCCCGACCCCGGAGAGATAGAGAGCTTGGTAGGTCTAGGGCGCAGGGATCGATCCCATGTGTTTTACAGGGAGCCTCCGACCACTGCACTACACTGGCATTTTAGAGGCTTCCTTACGCAGATCTATGTACGTAACTCCATGACACCGTGAAGCTTGTCACCAGTAATGCACATTCTAGAACGCAATGAAGGTCACGATCGTTTCTGAGTGGTGATTTCTTGTATGTGTTACAACGAAGATGGTGAAACTTCGACTTTGTTAAATGTGGTGCTTTACCAGGATACAAGGCATGCTTCTGGAGTACTAAAATATGTCAGTGCAACAGCGATTGTTGAGCTTTCGAAACCAATGAATGCCGTGTCCGACTATTTCCTGTTTGGATGGATGGGTTCCAGTATTCGGGCTTCCGCCCGGATCCGTCACGGATCGGCCGGTGGGTGTTGTGTGGGCGGGCGGACGTAGTGTGACGGTGTGGCTCCGTCCGACCTTCCGCCGCCATGTGGCTGGCCGTATCGATCGGTCGCCTCCTGCCCCGTGGTGGTCGCCGAGGCGAGCGCGGCGGGTCTGTTTCCGTCCCGGGGCGGCCCACCACCACCAAGTGTGGCTCCAGGGCGCTTCACTTCTGCCACTCACTTTTTGTCCCTCTTTGATTTCGAGAGAATGCCTTCTCGTCTGTCTTATGGCCTGCCTCTTTGATGTTCCTGCTTTTTGATTAGCTTATATACTTTATACTTTTACTCCTATTCCACCCATATGACTTTCATGAATATCCCTCAGTGTGTAAGTAATGGTTAGAAGTGTTTTATTCCATCTACAAGATCATCGTCTTTTCTTTGCGTGCCGTCTCTTTGTTCAGACATTTTCATGGATGATAAGGCTCTCCGAAGTTTTCTACGACTGAAATGTCATCGTAGATCAGCTCAATAGATGTTCACAACCATTTATTAATTATTAACGTCTTTTAATTACTTATAAAGATTCGCCTTAATCGTCTTCTTAATCCTGTCGTGGTCACCTACAACTCTGCTCATTGAAGAAATCGTTGAGTAACACTTGCTTCAATTTGCAGCTTCTATCCTTGCAGCTGTTCGAGAGATAGGAACGTGACGGTGATCAGCTTCCTGTTGTCGTCGTTGCTGGCTTCCTTACTCTGTAGTCATGCCACATGTTCCCGTTCGGCTCAACGTGTATGACATGGTTAGTGGTCGTATTCCAACGTTATACGCTTGCTTTCCTTTGTCCCACATAAAAAGAATAAAGGGTAAAGCTCTCGGTGTTGATCAATCCCTGAGGGATGCGCCATGCATTCGACTTCTTTAAGTTGGAGGTGAGTGAATGCATATCTGGCCTTGACCCACGGTGGCCTCCTGATGTATCGAGCCAGTGCTGCCATCGTTTCAGACAAGCCTGGTACCATTTTGTCGACCCCGAATAGATGAAGGGCTTGGTGGTCCATGGGCCAGGGGATCCATCCCATGTGTGTTGCATGGCGCCTCCGACCACTACGCCACACGGGTCCACATGCTGGACGATTTTCGCATAGTCTTCAATCATGATTTCGCTAGAAACAGTGCGACTAGATTTCTCAGAATTAACCTTAATACTTGTACGAGTACACCCCCGTATTCCATTCGAAGGTCGTGTAGGTTGTGTGTAGAGCTTTTAAGGCAGTGGCGGTTCTATGAGTGCTTCTTGACACAGCATGTGTAACCGGTTTCTCCGCCAGATGATTTTTTGCGCGTTTAAACAAACAGCTGTCGAGTTGGTTTCGGTATGTTTTCACTGGGAAATAGCTCCAGTTCAAGTGAAAAAACACTTGTGTACTTATGTTTGTGTTCTTTATTTTCATGTTTGGCGCGTGTAGCGCAGTGGTCGTAGTCGCCCGCTATTCTTCTTCGTTGCCCTATGTGTTTTTGTAGTTTTTTTTTTTCATAAGTAGTACTTTTTCTAGAATTTTCGTCATTCCGTTTTCCATGACGATTTATGCTATCAGCAATTTCCCAGGATAAATTGATACATTAGGCTGTTTCCACACACTTACGGTCACGGTTCGATCCGTCTTCACGTCTACTGTGCGGGTTCCATCACTTCTCACATTCGATTCCTCATCATCACCTCTCATCCATCATCGACGAAGATCTTACAACTTCTTACGTGTGGCTTTGGCTGCTGCTTGAGGACTTTCATTTCATCTTGAATGTCGTAGAAAGCTTTTCGAGGCGATACTCCCTGAGTTCCTGAGATAGCCGAGCTGGAGCGTTCCAGATTGGATTGCAGAGAGTGATTTTTTTTCCCGGGCAAGTCCGGTGCCAATTTCCCGACCCCATAGGGGTGAAAGGCTTGGTGAGCTTGGTGGGAGATCGAGTGCTCGTGATGATCGGAATCACTACCACTGTGCTTCGCCCCACTATTTGATGTATTTAGTTACCAAAGTTTGAGTATTACTGGTCAATAGAGAGAGTGACATGAAGGAAAATCTTAAGCAAGAAGAGCTCTAAGAACCTGGCCCTTCTGATATCGTCTTCTAATCCAAGCTTTCTTTAGATTGAAATTTTCAGTACTGGCTTAATGACTACGCATCAAACATAGGTTTTGGAATATTTCACTCTGGAATCGAAGTTTATGGCATCGGTTGGTTTGGTTTAGATCTCATGGAGTTTTGGGTTTTCATTTCTCTCCGAATTATTTATGTTCAGAGTATTCGTATGGTGGACATCCTTATTCGTTTTCCGGTGTGTTCGAGAACTCACCACAAGATGCGGAAGAGTTAGGAGAGAATTTCAAATTTAGGCGAGGATTATAGTATTTCTAGTTGTAATTTATAAGCTAATAATGTTAACCTCTTATTTGCTGCATAATATAATTTTTCACGGCAGAGTATGTTGTGAAATACAGACACAGAGATGCTAAGATATTCGCAGAACTTGGACCCCGGGCCAGATCAAACCACGACTACCTTTTCCGGGGACTCGCGTATTACACACCGCACCATTGAGGCCCTTTGAAAACTAATAGTTTATTGTGAAAGTGTATGAGCTGTCTTTAGACAGTGCATTGTAATTGGTGAAACTAACTTCACACCAACTGCCGTTCAAGAGCTGATAAAGTCACTCGGCCAGGAGTATCGTGGCGACCGCTACCATCTCATTTCAAGAAATTGCAACCACTTCAGCGCCGTCCTCGCTAAGGTGGTAGTTTATAATTTTGGCTTGAAGTATATAGTGTTGAACCAATAATTATTTGAGGCGCTCACGGGTAAAGATATTCCTACGTGGATCAACCGATTGGCCAATCTCAGCGGATCTATTCCTTTTTTAGAGAGAGTTAGTTATGTTCGTTGAATATTAGTTAGTCTTCTACTTGATAATATCCGCTACTTCAGCGGGTAATTTCAGTGTTTACCACAAGAGTGGTTAACTCCAGTCGCTCTTCAACAATCGCTCAATGACGCACATAATATAGGCGGTTCGAGCCGTAGTAAACAAGAGCACAAGGAGACGATTGATTCGGCTGAAGATGCTTTAGAAGTGAAATTAAATGGTGAGATATGTAATATTTATCCACTTTGTTTAAATGGGTAAGAACTAGGGTGTCGAGGTACTTTTTAGAGCATAGGGACTAAGGTTTTTTTTATTTTCAGTATAAATTATTATCTTTACTTAGGTGACTATACAGCTTATTGTAATGCGTTCACAACGGCCTTAACTTACTCTCGTACGGCTCCAAACTTCCCGCCCATGAACGACTTGGAATATTTATTTAAGACATTAGTTCATGAATGCCTCCCAACGGTTTACAGCCCCATCGCGGCAGGGAGGTGTTCCTGGGTGTCGGACTGCGAGGTACAGCGGGGAATTCATCCCCTGGCAGGGCTTCCCAAGCTGAGAAGGAGTCTGGCGTTTCCATCAGGATCCACCACCATCCTGGTATCAAAGTCGCATGGTGGCAAATCTCCCTCTGATTCACAAGGGCTGCGACTGCCTGTGGTGGTGAAGACCTGGGGCAGACTTTGGCTAGGCTGACCTCGGGACTCCAGGAATCATAATGGTTTAACCAGCAAATCTCCGAAAAATGGAGATTATGCTGGGGTCGCTTAATCAGTGAGGACGGGCCATTCAAATATCAGGTATCAAGTAAGTTCATGAATTAGTCGTATATGACATATGTGCCCGATGTCTTTGATTTCTAACGCGTAAAGGCTGATATGCATTGAGTAAAGTGCATTTGGGGTGTAAATAGTGGCCATTTTGAAATTTGACGTACTGACGACGTCCTGATTCATACATGATCCATACGTTTCGTGACCAGCTATTTTCCATGAATTTGTTTCATGGAAAAGATGTTTCACAATGTTAACTTTTTTTTTTACTGCGTACTGCAATTTTCACTACGGTGTATTATGCGAAATCAACCACGATGATGATGATATATTTGCCAAACTCCAGACCAGAGGTGTATACGGTGGGGGTCGAACACGCTATTACCCTTTCCGAGGGATGACGCGTTCACCACCACACCATGCGGGCCCTTCGTTTCACCTTTCTCTCAGCTATTTTTCTATGTTTCACTACATGATTATACACACTTCACAATCTTATCCGTTTTATTTACTGCCTACTGCTTTTAATGGTAGGGCATATTGCGAAATATAACTTCAATGATGCTGAGATATTTCAAAAACTCCGGACCGCTGGTGTCTGCGGTGGAGACGAAAGCGGTAACTGAAAGCCTCAGCTTAACTGGTTTCATTGCCGATTTGGGCTCCCAGATCAATATCGCTGACGGGTGATTGCTGATGGCAGAGATCGATTGAACTAGCTGAGAGACAGGCGAAACGAAGGACCCGCATGGTGTGGTGGTGAAGTGCGTTACTCCCTGGAAAGAACAATAACGCGTTCATTCTCCACCGTAGACACATGCGGTCCGTTGTTTTGCAAATATCGCAAAATCATTGAAGTTATTCACAATTCATTTTTTATTCGTCTGTTTATTTTGCTACACTCTGCGCTGAGCTATTTTCGACATTTTTAGCAACCGCCCAATAATTTGTTCAATGCACATCCCAACTTTTGCTCATATTTGAGCGTTCTTGTAGTTTTTCTTTTACATAATACGCTGCTATGAAAGATGGATAACCTGTAAATAAAGGTTAAAGATTGTGATTTCGACTATAGCTTTAGTTGCGCCTCAGGTCATTCCCGTTGATGAGTGATTGTTAATGGAATAGTTAGAGTAAAAAACTGACAGATAATGGCAAAGTAAGAGTCTCGACTGGTGTGGTGGGTAGCACGCAAGCCCCAGAAAAGATAATCGCGGTTTCAAAGACCAACAGTGTTCTTTGATTGTTGCCGTCGACCAATCGACTCAAATTATGGTTATAGGTGGATGTATAGTAAAATGCATGCACCTTGAACGATAATGCAAATTTTGTTCCAGAAATCTACAGTTGGCGAACTCTTAGTTGCTTCAATTATCGAGAAATTATAAGTTTTCGAGAAAGACATCTCCCCGTTATGTGAAGCATAAGAAGTCTATTTTTGAAAAGGAGTTGATTGTTATTTATTTTCCACAATGGGTTATGGTTATTGTATATAGCTGGCGGATATGAAAAGCGTAGAGAAGATACGGAAAAGCGCTTTGCATATCTGGCAACACCTCCCCAAGTTCTGACGGGACAGAAGTTTGGTTGGATGTTGGCCGAGTGTTTTTATCCATTATTTTTTTTATCACCCAAGAGTTCAGTTTGCTTAAGAGATATGGAAAACTACGTAGACGAACGTAAACGACAGCGCGAGATACATAATGCAGATTTTGCTTTTAAAATATTGGAGTGTATAGAAGAGCGAAAATGATAATGAAAGGAAGGCTGGTGAGCGTACATTGCGGCTGGCATCACTTCTACAGAACGCTTGTGGCACAGTGGTCGGAGGCGCCCTGCAATGTACATGGGATCAATTCCCCACCGGGATCGGCAGATTGGTTCCGAATTTGTCTGTGAGGATAGCAACATTGGCTCGATACGCCGGTAAACCACCTGACCTCCAACGATACTTAATGAAGTCCAATGCATGGCAGATTTCTCAGGGGTAGATCAACACCGAGAGCTTTATCTTTTTTTAAATCAATCTTATTGAAGTTACAACGCCTCAGATGAAAAATTAGGCCTTGTTCCATCAGAGTATCAGTTAAAAGTAGGTGTTGTTGAGAATGTGTTAAGCGGACACATTTCAGCTTATAGTGAACTTTATTAGTTGCCATGAAAACCACTAGAGCATATAGTTTGCAAGATATGAATAACAATAAAGCACGTTGTCTACATAGAAGTCGGCAAAGGTTTTGAAAAAACTGTGAAGTGGTTGTCACCCATCATTGTTTAATAATTTTAATGTATATTTACCTAGTTGCTTTAGCACACCCCACATTGTGTTATAGAATCGCGTGCCACCGTCCTTTCTACTCGTAACTTCAACTGCGGTGAAAAAACCTCTTCGTCATCATCAGGAACTCACAGCCGATCTGAGTCACCTCCATCTATACAGCGAATTTGGGCACAAATAAAATCTACAGTGGCTGGAGACGTTCGACCTTAAATCTGACGGGTTATTATGCCTTATACTAAAAGTATACCTGCCAACTCGTGAGTACTTTCAAATGTTATTTCTTCACGTGTAGGGTATTGGGTGTGACCATCTTCACTGTAATATATATGTGTTAGTGCTTTAATGTCGATGATGAGATTGACGTTATTCTGTCTTTCTTCATTGAAATTCATCGTCGTTGAGTTATCCTTGCTGTTTCAGAAGTGGTCGTTTGCTTATCTGCTTTTCTGCTGAATGTTTGTTGCAATAACTGTTCGTTTGTTAATAATTGGTGAACGTTTTTTTTTCTGCTTCTTCAGTTTTGCCACAACATTTGAGTTCTTCTTATGAAGCACTGTGATCGCCTAAACGACCTCGACTCGATCCGTCCATATCTTTACTCAAGTGGTATATCACTTTATTTTATCAAATATGCCTCGTTAATGTTTATTTTGTTCTTTCTTGTTTGAAGACAGCGGGGTTCGACCATGTTGTCTTACTGTATTTTCTTTCATTGTTTTCTATCGTACTCAGTTGATCTTGCCTTCCTCAGTCTGAATGAGATAGCACGTTTTGGACAGTTTTCTGATTCATATAGTACAGGTTTCTGTCATCTGTGTACCATAGGATGCCATTTTTCACAATCATTAATCTACCTTTCTATCTCAATGTTGCCACTTTTTCCAGCCTTGATTCTTTTTCGATGTTGAAAATAAATATTGTCATTTTCTCCACGATTATGGGATTAGTGTAGTTGACGGTTGTTAGGATAAAGCATCCCAGGAAAACCACTCGCAGATAGTTTCCATGCAGTAGTTGTACACAGTTGTCTCATCTGCGTTATTAGACTTTACGGTGATCGTTGAGTGTCTCGAGGGATACGAAGAACATCATGTCGTTCTTCTAGAGTCCATGAAGATATTTGTAACCATGGTGTTAGTGGTTTGTGCACTTAATATCCCGTGAGACCAGCTCGGTTATGACTTCCATTCACCTGTTGACCAGAATCACGTGTTTGTATCAGCGAAGTTCCGAGAACTTGTTGTATTTAACGGTGTTCCCTACTTCTCATGGCCGGCTTAGATAGGTGCATTGGGTTTATTTTCTAACATTTTACATTTCCACTTGTAGCCAGTTCTCGATAACGTTTCGACAACGCGAACCATGCTTTCGTTTTGACTATACATCTTACCGATTTGTGCAGCATAGATTAAGGCGGGATGGTGCGCTAGGTCGGAAACTGGATGCTGTGTTGAGTGTTCGTAATCTTACTGTCTAGATTCTAGACACTACTATAAGAACTTAAGATCGTTCTTTTCCCTTGTTCAATTTTGGAGCCAAGTCGCTGGTCATATTGAAGTTCGTCTCACATGGCTATTACTGAATGTGGTTCGCAAAGTGAGTATATGCGCATTTCCTGGTCATCGACTTCCATTACCGTGCTATCCCATTCTGCGATGCTATTACGTCATGGCCTTTATATCAACGACATTTTTTTTTACTATGGTGGAATTCCATGAAGCTTCTGCACAGCTCATTAAGGATCTTTGCTTACTGAATGAGGATGTACTGCTTGTCTAAAGTTCCACTGGCCGCTTCTATCTCAACTGATTCGTAGGTTGTTTTTTCTGCCGTTGACAGTGATGGGCATCTCATGCCCTCGTGAGATCTTAAAGGAGTTCTATATTATGATGGCCACTCACAATAAACGCTTTAGAAACGGTACTTGCTTGCGAGCCTCAGCCTCAATGTCCCATTAATTCTTTCATTGATTCCAAAGATTCTATTAAAGTCCGAAGAGCGATACCGTGTTTTGATGTATAGTAACGTTAGGTTATTCAGGAGTTTGGGTCTTATTCTGCTAAGATTTCGTGTGATGCGGCTCTCCACTGACGAAATAGCCAGGGCGAGTTCGTAGGACAAGGTACAAATACGTCAGAGTAGAAGGCATGAATGACCATGAGGCAATTTGATTACTTTGATGCTTCCACTTTTAGTAAAACGCGGGGTACGATTTTTCATCGGTCTTTTTAATCCATTATTTGTGTTGGTAATTGGAACCATTGCCGTATCAAATTAGTCGCACAGTGACAAATCTCCCTCCAATTCACAAGACCGGTGCTGCATGTGGTGGGTGACGACCTGAGGAAGGCTCCGGCTAGGCTTAAGTCGAGGCTCCAGGAAACAACAACGGCTCAACGAGCAAAATTTCAGCCTCAACACCTCGCACACAAAGGGTTCTCGTCTACGACGTCGAGCGATAAGACAACCGGTGAGAGGAGTCAAATTTTACGTTGAACAGGACGTCACTAGAAGCGGACAAAACGGGCATGTTCACGACAGGCCATAGAGGCTACCTATAACCACCTTAACGTCCACCTAAAACGTCAGAACACTGATCTTCACGCTCTTCTTGACGCTGCAGATGGCATCAAATTCTATGTCATCGCCTTAAAAGTGACCTAAACGACAAAGATCGACAAACGCCGGCTAAGTGATGGAACCGTTGACACTCGTGG